GATTGAATAATTTAAGAATGGACTCATTTCAGGACCAGTCCAAGTAACCAAATAGTATTGGTAGATTATTTGCATGTATAGTGGTTATTCAAATGGGTATATGGAACTTGGTCATATTTGTACTTTGTTCTCAATTAGATTATTGGTTTCTCCACAACGTATGAAATTTTACACAAGTGTCAATTGTTTTGTGGCTGGTTGTTTTATTTTTAAAATAAACATTAGTGTTTAGAACAGTTACAGATTTAGTTATAGAAAAATTGTGAAGATGGTACAGAGTTCCCATAAACTCCTCGCCCAGCTTCCCCTATTATTAGTACTTTACATTAATAAGATGTGATTGTTATCATTAATGGAACAAATTGGTATATATATTGTTATTAAAGTCCATATTGATCATTTCTCCAGCCGTGCGCTCCTTCATACCACTTCCATCCTCTTTTCTGTTCACCATCAAGTGTTTCTCTTGTCTTTCAATTCCTGTTTCAGGAACTCTGCCTCAACTCCCCTCATACTGCAAATGAAAGACTATTGGAAAGTCTGTTCCTGTCTTCTTTCAGAATTAATATAATCAAAGTAAGATGGCAAAGATGAGAAGAACCCGAGCTTTGCATGATATTCATTCTAGGAAAAGCATGGGGTTGCACGAAATCTTAAAATCAAGGAAATCAGGAGCTCTTTAATCCAGCCCTAGTCTGATAAAGAGAGGCCTGTTTCAAAGACTGCTTTTTATCTTTCCCAGTTAAGTGTCTCCAGTGATGAGAAACTCAATACTCCATGTGCCTTTTTTGGATATCTCCAACTATTATAGAGTCCTATTTATATGGAGCTGAAATATATCTCATTATTAATAAAGAAAAGCTAAAATTGGTATATATATTGTTATTAAAGTCCATATTGATAATTTCTCCTATTTATATGGAGCTGAAATATATTTCATTATTAATAAAGAAAAGCTCGGCCATGTTGTAGTAATAAGCAATCCTTAAATCCCTTTGGTGTAACATGTGAAAGTTCCTTTCTTGCTTATTCAAAAGTTGCATACCTGGGTGATTTGCTAGGACAGCCTTTCTCCATGTGGTGACTCAGGAATTGATTCTGTCTCTGTTCCTCCACAAATGCCTTGACGGGGGAGGGAAGAGCTGAAGGAGGACATACAAGTTCTTAAATGCTTCAGGCCGGAAGTGAGGCAGGTCACATCTACTCCCAGAAATATTCACATCGTTCCACTTAATTGCAACGCAGCTGGGAAACGGGAAGCACTGGGATGTTGAGAGAGCAGTCAGTATCTCCACCACAGTTTGAGTTCTGAGTCTCTTTGTTCCTTTTAACCACGCAGCACAGTCACCCTTCCTCACGGAGGAAACCTAAACTCCCACCCAGTCATTGCACTGGGTTCAATGTCCAGGATCTCGGGCGAGGTGGCAAGGTATCCTCCTTGTCATGTCCGATCATGGACCCTTGTTAATAAGAACGAAAAACAAGCATGCCCTCTTGCAGACTGGAAATCTTACTCATGCATTTCCTGCCTATATGGAGTGGTGGGGGCCCAAGGTTGTTTTAATTCGTAAAAAGTCATAAGTTTAGTTTAGACCAGCTGTATTATGTTTGGTTAATATAACTTTCTTAAAACCTTTTGGGTTTTTCATCTCTCTGCTTCCATTCATTTAAATGTGGCAGTTACCACACCTACCTTTCTTTTTAGGATTTTCCCAAATCCTTATTTCATTGAATTCTTACTCCAAAGGTTCATTTGCTTAAGTTAATAAGGCTTTTTGAGGATGTCAGACTTCAGGTGAGGAGCTATTCTTATTGGTATCCTAAGAGGAGGCCTGCTTCATTGATGGTCTGGCACGACGGAGTAAGTGCTAAATGTAGTTCACTTTTCATGTGATTTACTCCATATGAATGACACCCAGGATGTTTGAACACCCTACGACCCCAGACACAAGATGGTGCCATGTTCCATTTATATTTGTGTGAAACTATATAGTACAAAGTCCAGATCTCTGAGTCTAGAAAGTAGTAGACATCCCCCATGTCCCATACCATTGAAAAGGTTTTTGTAACTTTCTAGGGGCAACATGAACTATGAGGATAGCGGTGGAGAAGAGAATATAAATGAAAAGTTCTGCAGGACTCTTCTGAGGGATAAAAGAGAGTTTTATTCTGATATAATTTGAAAATCACAGAACTTAGACTTAGCCATGAACCAAAGACAGGCTTAAAGTGGGAAGAATAAGACACCCTAGCTCAGTGGTCGGCAAACTGTGGCTCGCGAGCCACATGAGACTCTTTGGCCCCTTGAGTGTGGCTCTTCCACAAAATACCGACTTCTGTGCATGGGCCACGGAGTTTCAATCGCACTGTATGTGCACACTTGCACGTGGTATTTTGTGGAAGAGCCACACTCAGGGGGCCAAAGAGCCACATGTGGCTCGCAAGCCGCAGTTTGCCGACCACTGCCCTAGCTGGATGACTCAGTTGGTTGGAGCATCGTTCCAGACTACAAAAGGTTATGGGTTTGATCCCCAGTTTGGATTTGTATGAGAAGGAACCAACCAATCAATGTTTCTCTCTCTCAAATCAATAAAAAACATATCCTCAGGTGAGGCTTGTAGAAAAAGTGTAATTTAAAGGCAGAGTTGTGAGAAGCTGCTGATCAAAAGGCTGGGTTATTAGGGAAACAAGACCATAAATTTATCTCATTCATTTTCGGATTGGTGGGGCAACTGGATTTTCAGGGGTCTGCTTACTCAGCAGTCAGAAAATGGTGATATGAGATAAGAACAATGGGTAGATTCGGTGGACTCATGGTCAGCAGGTGGAGTCGTCAGATATGGTCAGCAAAGGAGGGGTCACAAAGAAGGGACCAACCTCTCAGTTTCCCATGGAGTCTGCAAAATAAACTAATAAAACAAGTAGTAGTGAACAGACCATGCAAAGAATCTACTTGGTCCCACAGACAGAGTCAGAGGTTAAACTGCAAAATGGCCTACTCACTTCAGTGAGGTCAGAGACCAAGTTGCAGAAGGGTCTGGATACTCATTCACAAAATTATGATATTAGAATCCTTAAGAGGATGGATTTGAGAGGCATATAAAAGGTGTGATCAAGAGTATGGAATTGAGCCCTGACCGATTTGGCTCAGTGGATAGAGCGTCGGCCTGCGGACCAAAGGGTCCCAGGTTCGATTCCGGTCAAGGGCATGTACCTTGGTTGTGGGCACATTCCCAGTAGGGGGTGTGCAGGAGGCAGCTGATCGATGTTTCTTGCTCATCGATGTTTCTAACTATCTAACCCTCTCCCTTCCTCTCTGTAAAAAATCAATAAAATATATTTAAAAAAAAGAGTATGGAATTGAGCCATAGTTGATTTGGCTCCATGGATAGAGCATCAGCCTGTGGACGGAATCAAAAAATCAATAAAATATATATTTTTTAAAAAGAATATGGAATTGAGCCATAGTCGATTTGGCTCTGTGGATAGAGCATCAGCCTGTGGACAGAATGGTCCCAGGTTTGATTTTGGTCAAGGGCATGTACCTTGGTTGCAGGTTCCTCTTCAGCTGGGCCCTGGTCAGGACTCATGCAGGAGGCAACCAATTGATGTGTTTCTCTCACATTGATATTTCCTTTTGTCTTTCCCTCTCTCTTCCACTCTATAGAAATCAATGGAAAAATATCCTCTGGTGAGGATTAAAAATTAAAAAGCGAGTATGTAATTGATCTGTGTTATGGTAGTATGAATTAAAAGGGAAATTCGTGGAGTTTCCATGTGAAGATGGCATATTGAATATATATAATTTCACTCTCTCCCCAAATACACTAAAAACTATCATAAAGATATTTTAAAAATAGATTTAAATCCATAATATTTTGGGAGCTGAAAAGTAGATAGACGAAAGAGGTAACTGGCTTAAATGGATGGGAGACCGTAAGATTCTGAGACCATAAAGATAGAACCAACAACACTCCAATATGCACAGCAGAATCCCTAGGAATGAAATTGCAATATCCCTCGACCAGGAGTTTGGGGAAGGGGAAACAGAGGGGTGATGGGAGAGAGCTACATTCTCATCTACCAAAGAGGAGATCAAGAGATGATGCCTGAAACACACAAATTTAAAATGAGCAATTTATATAGAACATAAAGATCTTTAAATTTCAAAACTAATTAAGAGAACCTAGTCATTGCATGTGGGGAGGGGTGTCTTATGCACCTTTTAATACTTGTAAAACTGTGCAGGCAATACTTTGAGGAATTACTTAAGTTAAAAAGAAGTTTCTGATTTGAGTCTTTTATAGAGAATAAGGATATTTAGAAGTAGAAGGCTTCCAGGAGAATAACAGAGGCCAAATTTGTCCTTTGACAGATGACAGAATTGAGGCATGTTATAATTGAGCCTAATCTTGCAGCTCTGCACACACAGTCTCTGTCAGGAATGTGTTCATTTGCATGTCGAAATTAGCTCCTACTCCAAGTAAGCCTCAGCCATCCTATGGGAAGGCCGGGATGTGGTCATGGCAACTCAACGCCACTGCAGTGATGACTTCTCGGCATTGTGTCAAAATGGTAGATTAAACATATTAAAAACAAGGCAGGCAGCATTGTCTCCATGATTAGCCATGGCAACTGTCAGGGATGAGACTGAAATCTGGTTGCAGGGAAGGAGAAATATTTATGTATTTCAATGAGAGGGAAAGTGGAACTCACCGTGAATGGGCTGAAGGGAAAGCATACTAATGGGAGTGACAGTAATGAGATTATATGTATTATAAGCACTGACAATTATGCGCTCATTATGAAAATACACAAAGGGAATGAACACAGTTATGTAGCAGACACTATGGGACAATGAACTTATTATGCCATTTGCACTGTAGTCTATAAAAGTTTGCTGCTAGATTTTATGCTTTATGAGAGCAAAATTAAGCTTTTCCCCTCCTACACCTCCATAAAATTTTGGAAAACTAAAATTTGAAGAAATTAGGCTAGACATGGCCTCAGTCGTCATCCAGTTTTGCAGTTTTTCTGTTGTGCTCCCTCAGAATTTCAAGGGAGGCGTGAAGGGAAAAGTGACGGGTATTCCAGGCCCCTTCAGCCTTCTTCAGCCCGAGCAAACCATCTTATTCTGCTTGATACGTTGCTTGTCCCTACAGTGTTTTATGTAACAACAAGATTCTACTAAAACAAGAAGGCTGGAACTCAGAAGTCTTTTCAGCTTGCTTGCTTCTGAGACGAGGAGTCTGGGCCCTAAGGATGGAAGTGACCTGCCTAAGATGAGACTGAGCTAGAATGAGCACTTGTCCCCCACACCTCGGTCCTTTCATGGTGCTCCATTCCAAATGGGTTGTGGCCAGAGCAGCTTGTCCGTGATGACCAGCGCCTGGGAGGACTTCATGGTGCACCTCCCTGCACTGCAGAAGCTGCCGGTGTGGATCCATTCCCAGACCCTAGACCGGCACCGCTGACCTCCCACAGATGGTGCCTGGATGGGCTGGGAAGGGCCATACATACCACTGTGCTGACTCATTTTGTTTGAAATCATTTACTTCATGCTCAGTGGCCTGCAGTAAAAACCAAAAGTACCAAAGCACTTATACTATGTGCTAGTTACTGTACAAGTGCTTTATGTACATCACTTATGGTTAATGCATTTAGAACTAGAAAATCTAATCTTTTATTTGAAATTGCGACCACTGGTCTACAAAGTATTTCCATTCAGTTCATGCATGATATGGCTTAACATACATGAGGAATTAAAAACAACACAACTGCATTTAGGGCCATTTCCTCCCTGCAAGCTGGAGTGGGTTTGGTTTTTGGAAGAGGCAGTGACTTAGGAGCACAGAAAAGGTGGATAACCAACTCATTTTGATTCAGAAATGATTTGCATCCCGGGTACATGCTGTCTGTCCCAGTGGAGGCAAGCTCTCTGCCTTGATGTGGGGCCCTGTGGGGGAGACCACCTGGGCTTCTGTGCCAGCGGGCTTTCCATGGAGGCACCAGCAGAAGTGTGGAGGCAGGAGGAGACAGCACATCTATATCAGTAGCTACCACCTTCCAAGACTGTAATATCCCTGAGGTGACAAAGTCTCCATGGTCACATCTCTCACTGGATTTTAAGGACATGATTTCCTCCCTGTGTGGTTACCCAATGGCTTTGTGATCTCAGCATAGGGAACTTCTCTCCTCTCGGGCACCTCATTACCCTAACCTTGACCTCACCTCTCCAGGTTATCTCATCCTTAAGATCTTTTCAGGCGAGCCATCGGGATGAATGCTTTTGCTGATGGGACTGACAAATGCAACATAGGAATTTAAGATCATGAGAGCGGTTTTCTTGTGTGGTGCCACAGATCTCTATTCGTAACCCCCGAGGACTCTCAGATGAACAGATCCACAAGATTTCACAGGCACTGGGCCATGTAGCCAAGGCTGGGCTGGGTACTGCCATGCTCTATGAGCTCATCGAGAAAGGAAAGGAAATTCTCACATGGCCAGTGTGTCATCTGCCTCTATGGTTTCCAGGAGAACGAGGCCTTTACAAAAACACCCTGTTACCACTATTTCCACTGCCACTGCCTTGCTCGGTACATCCAGCACATGGAGCGTGAGCTGCAGGCTCAAGGACAGGAGCAGGAACAGGAACGGCATCATGCCGCAACCAAACAGAAGGCTGTTGGTGTGCAGTGTCCAGTGTGCAGAGAGCCCCTCGTGTATGATCTTGCCTCACTAAAAGCAGCCCCTGAACCCCAACAGCCCATGGAGCTGTACAAGCCCAATGCAGAAAGCTTGCGCCAACAAGAAGAGCTCAGGCGGCTCTACCAGAGGCAACAGGAAAGGGGGGGGCATCATTGACCTAGAGGCTGAACGTAACCGGTACTTCATCAGCCTCCAGCAGGTGAGGAAATAATTTCCCACTCCTTCCCTAGTGACACCAAGTTTCCTATGAACACCCCTCTGCCATGCTGAGCTTTGTTCTACCCAGGGTGGTTACGGGCTGACGGTGGTCAATTCATTTAGTGGGCGAGAGGCCTGTAGTTCCCTGCTTTGAGAAGCTGAATCTCCTTATCTGCATCTGCTCACTTTTTTCTAGCCACCTGCCCATGTGGAACCTGAGTCAGCTGTAGATGCCTCCAGAGGATCCCAACCACTCAGTGCTCTTGCCACAGAACTGTCCCCTTCATCAACTGCCCAACCTACCCAGTCAGCTCCTCTGCCTGTGGCTTCCCAGTATATGTGCGAGAAGATTCCAGGGACTGGGCCAAGTCAGCAAAGGTTGAGCGAGACGCAGAAAACTATCCTGGATACTCCCCGGGCCAACCGAGGCCCCTGGAGACAGCCTGAACGGAGGCACCTGAAGGGAGGGGAATACAATGCCCACAAAGGTACCAGTGACACCCAGGAACTGCCACTTCCTGAGAGGCCCAAGGAGTCCATGGACGTAAAGCCAGAAGAACCCCATAACCAAGGGGTTGGAGGTCCTTCCCAAGAGAATGGGCCTGGCAACTGGCAGGGTCCCCCGCCCCGCAGGACTCGGGACTATGCTCGCTGGGAGCGTTCTAAGAGTCGGACACCAGGTTCTTCCTATCCCCGCCTGCCTCGGGGTCGGGGAACCTATCCACCTGGCACTCAAAGGGAGCCCTTGAGCCTGGAATCGGAGGATGGTTCCTAGCAGTACTATGGTGGGACAGGGAAATGGGGGTAGGAGGGGGGCAATAAAGAGATTTGGCCTTGATGACAGTGTTTAGTGTAAAATCCCAGAATGTGGAGAACCATAGCAACCCCATTGGCTTCCTGGAATGACCATTTAAAGAGCAGGCCTCTTTGGATATATTAGATATAAAAATTATGGTTCCTCTGTTAAAGCTTTAAAAAAATTTTTTTTGGCATGATTCTTCACGTAGCGTAAGCAAGCTTAAAGAACATTGAGAGGTTTCATATGATTTTTGACTTAGAAAATGCCTTTCTATGTCTAAGCACAGAATGACTTGCCACACCTTATAATGGAACCGTAACAGACGAAGGGCAGAGGGCTGGGACTCATTTCTTACTGTCTGGCTTCAGCCCAGCCTTGTGCTCCCTGTCTACTTTGTTCTCTTTTTAGAATCAGGGATGGGAATCGTGCTCAGTCTCTCTCAGCCCTATAGTGTAATACTGCGCTTTGAATGCAAGAATGTTCATATTCACATATGTGCATGTTATTTTTTGACTTCGCTTTATATTCACAAACTGATGTCTGGGTCATGATCAGAAGTTCCTCAAGCAAGGAAAAAAGGAGAAGCTGAGCAGCCCAGGCAAGCCTAGGATCACACGTGATAAATTCTCCTGGAGAACAGCGGCAGGGCTAATGGCATAAATGCACACTCCCTGATTTTGCAGGTCTGCGGGGCAGTGTTTAAATCAGAGCATTCAGTGCCCCTGGCAGCTGCAGATGAGATACCCAAACAGGTTCCCCTGAAGCCCATGGCTCGCGTTCAGTCGGGCCCAGCGTGGAATACAATCTGTTCCCTTCCTTGCCCACCTCCTCCCCTCCAGGCCCTGGCTGCCCTCCCCCCTCTGCAGTCATTTCCCAGGCAGGACTGGAGAGAGCTGCAGACTAAATTGCTTTCTCCTCGAGCATCTTCGTACATGTCAGATGAGATCAGATTCGAAGCAGGTTCTGTGCTCTGCAGGGCTGATCCAAATCAAATCAAAATATCTGTTACGTGGGACATGATTGAAGTATATTTACTTTGCTGCATCCCCTAATGGTCCTGTCATCCGGTGCCTGAGGCAGGGTTACAGGGGAGCTGATGAATCAGAATTGCCTTCCCCGCTCCATCGTTCCCTCCGCTCGGCTTCCAGGTTGGTCTCCACAAATGCTGTACTCTTATTAGCAGAAGGAACGTGGGATGCACTTGGAACTCTTTCTCCAAGCTTTGCTTTCAAATTACACAAACCAGTAGGGTTTCCTCACATTCTCCACCGGTTTTGCCACACAATAAGGGAAAACAATCCCTGAGGAATTTCTGCTCACCACCCTGAAGCTATAGGTTTTTGTTGTCTATGCTTTCATTTCCTCTTTGTCTGTTTTTGTGCATTCTTTTGCTACCAGTTCCTTAAACAATATTATAGAATATTAAAGTAAACTGAGCTCTGTTAGGCTCTCTCTCCAATCCACAGGGTGTCTCTCTTTCTCTGGAAGAATAAAAAAGGTTTACCTAAACCTTGTTCTTTTCCCTTTATTCTGTTTTCACTTTCCCCTTTATTCTGTTTTCACACAAACACTGTTTTTTAAATGTATCCTAAAAAAATAAATGTCTTTTTAGGCACTGAGGGAACTGTGTGGAATCTTCTCTAATTAGTCAGGCTGAGACAGAGTTTTGGCTTCCTCGGGTGGTGGGACACGCGGTGACGGTGCCTGGGGCTCCGGAGCTGTCGTTCTGAGACGAGGGAAATGACGTGGACCGCATCTCATTCGGGGGTCTCTTCCCTAAATGAGTTCACAGGGTGCTTTGGGCACTTCCTGGTCCCTACAAACCGTGTTGTTTTGGGAAAAGCAGAATCTGCAGCCTCTGCTTCCCTAGGCATCAGGCAGGCTTGTTTCCAGCAGGACCCAATACCCGCCAGTTACATCCCACCACCTGGAGGGGCTAAGGAAGAAAGGCAAAGTGACAGCTGAGAGCAGGAGACAGCCCACCACAGTGCTTCCCGACGTGGGGCACACGCCCCACAGGGGCAATGTGATTTTTAAGGGGGGCAATTCGAGAATGAGTTATTAACAGTGAATGTTTTGCATTTCTTATGGTTCTAGGGGCCTCATATACAGTATATAAATACATACTGACATATTTATGCATTTCAGTTCTCTATTATGTTTTGAAACTTTATTTGCTATTTTTCATATCACTTCATATTATTATTATTTTTTAAACAATTCTTAGTGATTTCTTCCTCAGTACTTCAACGGTCCTCTTGTTTTTTTTTATTTTTCTCTTTCATGGATGCCATGTTCTTTGGAAGCTTGTTTAGACCAAGTTAATGGCCTTTTAGGCTTCCTCCATGTCATTAGGAGTTCACTTTTTGAATAATAAGAATTATATGTCACGGCAGGGGGGGGGCATCAGGATTTTAGAGGTGCTTAGGTGGGGCATGGCCAATTAAAGCTTGGGAACCACTGGCCCACCAGCTGGCGCCAACAGGAGGGCCTGGATGCAGTTGAGTCCACTGTGCAGGTGACTGTAACCCAAGTACAGGAAGTGGGACTCAGGAGCACAGGAGGCGCTTTCCTGCCCCCAGTGCTGAGAACAGTCCTTCCCATAGAAGCTGCATCCAAACTGATCTTGAGTTTGGACAGGAGGAAGCATGCTGGCCAGTAACCCCTGGGCTGGTCCCTACCCTCAGTCATTTCAATCCCTTAGGACTGACTTAGGACAAAAGCTATCTTATGTCCTCTTGCGAGCAGCCATTTGGTTGTGTGCCCAGTATCCTTTTAAACTTTAAAAAGACCTTATCCCACCTCCTTTATAAAGTTAAGGGGAAACATGTCAAGTCTTGAAGGGAGTGTGAGTCAGGATGCTCTCCCTCTCCTGGCCAAAGGCCCAACATTCAAAGATTTTGGAAGAGCGACTCAAAGACCAAAAATAATTGATCCGTATTCTTCCCCTGGCCTGGTCTTGAAGAATGTGCCTATAAACCTCCACTTACCTGACTTTCCAGAGCTGCTATGGATCTCAGCCTGTCCTATGCTTGGTCCTTCACTTTCTCTTATTCTATGACCCACCAAACATCCTTTTGATAAGTTACCCAACTCCTTTTCTTAAAGTTGCCTAAGTCAGTTTTTGTCTCTTCCTCCCAACCCTACTTGCTCTAATCTTCCTCTTTACTCTGTTTTTAAACCCATCTTACATATTGTTTTCAGAATAATCTCCATACCCCACAGCAGATTCCTTCCTGCTAGTATCCTCAGTATTTCCAATCCCTCACTGGTCTATATCTGAATCCCTCAGGCTGGTTTTTACTCTTCCCATATGGTGTCTACCTTCCCTCAAAGGAAGACCTTCTAAGAGTCAGATAATATGGGGAATAACCAGAAAGGGGCAAGAGAAGTAGCACAGGGGAATTGGTGTCTCAGTTTCCCCCCCTCTAAAATGTGGGTTTTAAAAATAGATGTAAGAGCCTTTTCCTATCTAACAGTCTATGCTTCAAATCTTGTCCCAAATTGATTTTTTAAATATTATTGGCATGCAGTGGGCATATAGCAACTTGGAGCAGAGAATAACATATGTATGTGTGTATCCGGTTGCCAGTCTTTGGCCTCCCTGCAATGAAGATCTGAGTGTTAAATCAGTGTGTGAACAGACAGAGTATAAACATATTACACTACCTACGTGGGCCATGCATTCTGCCATTTGGCATCTTCAAGCTTGCGGTCCCAGTCCTGCTTTATCTCTAAGGGATTCTGCTTCGATATTTCCAACCTTAAGTTTTATACCGCTTTTTTCTTTATCCATGTGTTATAAGCTTTATGATATATTGATACAAGACATGTTCAGGGAGTTAGATGGTACAATAGAGGAGGCCAGAAGAGACCTGTTTGCCTAGGTGAAGAGCTGGATTAAGTGTCTGTGAACTGGTAATGTTATCATGGTCTTTCTTCGTTGCTAGTGGGAGTGTGGTTCTTGGGGTACCGCTGGAATAAGCATTTCTGGAGACCCCCACGGGAGGATGAGATGTGGTAGAAAGCTTTCTTTTTGTGGAATTACAACCCTTGGTTTCTAAAGTCCCATTTCCCTTAACCCAGTCCTGGAAGGTGTGCAGCTGGGGCTTCAGTAAAGCCAGAAGCAAGCCAGCATTCAGAGTTCCTGTTCCATGTTGGAATTGGGTCTGGTACAGCATCAGGCTAGTTGCAGTCCATTAGTCCACTGTGTGGGGTCCTCATGGCCATGAGACATGCGGGCACATGCAGGGGAGCCAAGGGAGTGCACCCCAGGCAACCAAGAGTCTCAAGAGAGCAAGAGCAAATTGAGAGAATGAACATCTTTGTTGAGGAGATTAAATATTTCAAATCTTCCTGTGCTTGCAGTGGCCACCCCTGCTCTGGCCAATGACCTGTTCTCAGGTGTGACTGCTAGACAGGTACCTTCCCTATTTCACCCAGACTTTACTGGGCATATGTCTGTTTTCCCCTGTCCGGTCCCTTCCCCCAGGGATCTGTGGGAAAAGATCCGTGGCTCCCTGGGAGTGTTAAACTGCAGCTTCCTGGCAAAGCTGCACAAATGACATGCCAATAAAATGTGGCCTTCCCTTTGCTCCTTCCCTGTTATTTATAACTAAGTTAATTACAATGGTATCAGTAACATCATTCTTCAAGGGAAATAGATGCTGATATTTTGGTTTGTAACTTTGCCTTCTTTTCTAATGACTTGATACCAAAGTTTGATGCTAAAGCAGTTGCTTTCCAGGTATTATTTAATTTAGTCACCACTTCCCTCTTCTTTTTTTCTTTTTCTTTATCATCCCTGGATTTGGATAATTACTTAAACAGTGTCTTTTCATTAAGGGAGTAAAAAATGCATCCCTTAGATTTGAGCTATTGTCATGAGGAACCTGTCAGTCACAATGATAGACATGAAGTATATTTCTCCCAAGTAAGTTTCTGCTTCACTGTCACCCTGTCCTTTTCATTTCTTCCAGCCTCTGATGACTGGCAGGGTTTCAGTTTCTATAAAGGAATGGTTCTGCGTTATTTGCAAT